ATTTTTCTATTTCATTTTATTTTTTATTTTTTTTTCTACTTCTTTTGAATATCGCCACTATCTCTCTCTCGCTCACTCTTTAAGATCTGATACCCCCTTCGAGATTTTTTCCCCTTTCAGACCATGAACAAACTATATGTTGGGAATTTAAGTCCTTCGGTCACTGTCGAGGACTTGAAGCAGCTCTTTGGGGAGAGGAAGCTGCCAGTGGCCGACCAGGTCCTACTGAAATCCGGCTATGCTTTTGTGGACTTCCCCGACCAGAACTCGGCCATAAAGGCTATAGAGACTCTTTCTGGTAAGTGTGGATTTGATAAGTGATGCTGCTGCTGGTGACAGGAAAAATTCACAGCGGGTCAAACTGCAAGATCAGGTTAAAAACACAATAGCTCAGCGTGTCCGTAAATGTGAAATATGAATCATTGCTTGTGTTATTATTAGTCTTCTTTTTGTTGTTTTTCTGCTGCTCGGGACAGTGTTTTTTTGTTGTTGTAGCGATCACATCCGTGTGCCATCAGAGTTTAGATGAACGCTCAGCAATGCACGCTCCAACAAAAATTGGATAAATGATCGATCCCAGGACACACTCGGGGCTTTAGTGCCCGTTCGCCTAAAGAAAACACGAGCAGTCGTAACGCTATTAACGCGCACAATAACCTATATTTTGGAGATTCCGATAGTGTGGGGCGCTACTTTGCAATCACCCACTGGAATGTATGGGATGGTCTGATGGTTCGGGTAGGCATAATTATTTTTCACTTATTTTTTATCTTGATTTTATTGAAGAGAGCAGAGCGACGCGAGCGCGGAAAACGTGTCAGATCCATGTTCCTCTGATGTCTGGGTATGTTTTTACGAGGTGTCTTGGAGGTGGGTCATGGGGGTCCGGAGGAAAGAGCTAATAAACAGGTAGCTGAGGGGGGACGAGGTGAGACGCTAATTCCGTGCTGCGCCAGGCCACTCTATAATAGTAACGAAAACCCGTGTTCAAGCTCCGCCGAGGAGCGCTTCAAATTCAACCCCCTCGGCTGGGTCAACACGGGGGGAATTAAGAAACACCTACCTAGAATAGAAAGAGTACAAGCCATTCTCCTTTTCAAAACCATCTCTTCTTTTGATGTTGCATTCTTTACTGAGAGCAAGGAGAGAAGAGGAAAAAAAAAAAAGAAAAAAAAAACACCCCTCATTGCACTGTGAGGGTTGTGGGAGTGGAAAGCATGGCTGCCCATTTCCCTCATAGTATAAAAGCTTTATCATGCTTTATTTTTGGCGCCGATTTCCCCTCATTTGTGACCCCCTCGAAATGTCCCCAGTGGGGTTGTTTTTAATGTAAACATGCTCGGTTTTATCCGCCGCCGTGCGCCCGGCGGTGGAGTACTTTTTGGTGAGGGGTTGGCTGTTTGAATGGGGACGCACCTACTTGGAGAAGTGATTCAAAGTGTTGCTGTAAAGGCCTACCAGCTTGCATTGTTACTTTCATGACACGCAGCTAATGTTACACTATCAACTTTCGTCCCTACAGGTAAAGTTGAATTACACGGAAAGGTGATAGAGGTAGACTACTCTGTTCCCAAAAAACTAAGGTAGGCCTACAATCTGACACACACACACACACACTCTCTCTCTCTCTCGCTCACACACACACTAACACACACATTGTGTCCCACGCCTATACTGTGCCCCATGGCAGACTGTGACCTGTAGGCTTCCGCTGTGAAATATAGCACGCAGATTTCCTCTCTTTTCTCTGCTTCTGTGTGTGATTTGAAGCAAAAGGCTGCTGCTGTTTTATTTCCTGGCGATGGAAACGTAATTGCATGGCGATTAAACAAAAGAAAGAGAGCGACAAAGAAACAGTTTAGTCTCCAAACACCCGCAGAAACACACGGTGGCTGCAGCCATATCGCGTGATCTGCAGCAAAGGGCCTGTCCCGCTGCTCAACGTGGACACACACACACACACAGTGCATACACGTAATAATTGCATCCTAATTGAATCTCTCATATAGACTGTAGTGGAACTTTAACACGGGCTGCTGCGCATGCTGGGATTGTTGTTGTTTTTTCCCTCCCCTATATGAAAGCGATAAAGTTAGGTTTCATTATTGGCTGTAACACTGCAATGCACGGTACGTTGCATACCAATCAGCTGAGCCTCTCCTCTGGTTTACTATATGTGTGTGTGTGTGTATGTATGCCAGAAACACAAATTGTATAGGAGTATGTGTGTGTGTGTGTGTGTGCGAAGAAAGCGTGGGTCGAAGGTTTGCGAGCTGATCTATAGGTCAACCCTGAACTCCAAAACCACGAGATCACAGTTGTATTATGTGCTTCTGTATCAAACTGCACACGCAGGAAACCCAATATGTATACGAGCTTTTAATTGCGTGGAAATAACAATTGAACAGGCAGTTTTATGTGCGTAATGCGAAATAAAGTCATCCGTCTGGTTTTGCAGCACATACACTCCCAACACGTATAGATCCACACCTTGTTCTCTTTTTTATTACCACAATGCCTTTAGCTATAGGGAAACACTACCTTGCGTGACAGAAAGGTAAATATTCAAGCCCCTTGTGGAGGAACACGTGACCCATACTTTATGCGCTTCCAGCATAGTCCTCCCCCTTCAGTGCAGACTACACTTTCCTGCATTACAGCCTCGCTTTTTTTTCCTTTTTTTTTTGCTGAGCCACACTCTAGAGAGAATATGTATGTTAGAAAATGTCTAATGATCGAGCTGCTGTGTTATCCCCTCGCTTTTTGGCTCGATTTGAAAGCGTTTATGTGAGCTGCAAAGGCGCAACATGGTGTAGAAAAAGCCCTGCGCCACTCCCCACAGTTAATGTGCACGTAGGCCATTGCAATGTTGGAGAGCCTCATAATGGCTGCCATGATGGCCCTGCACACTGCACGGCTATAGGCGGAATCAGATGGGGAGCTGGATTTCCATACATGTGCCTGTATGTGTCCAATCGGCTGCGTGCAGAGCTGCTGGACGTGTGTGCATGTTCTGAACAGGCCCTTTAAAGCTAAAAAACCTTCGCTTATGAGGGGAGGTCGACGTGAGTGCAGCGTAAAGGACACGTACAGGTGTTCATTTTGAAAACACGCAGGGAATCAGTGGGAACTGGGCAAAATCACGTGTGTGTGGAGCTGGGTTGTTTGTTCACACCGTTTTTTAAGTGATTTAGGCTTTACCCACGGTGCTAATTTAATTTAATGTTAAAACATCAAGCAGTTGTTTGTCTAGAGTTTCTGTCTTTTATTGCTGAAACGTTTACATGAATTATTTTTAAAAGCTAAAGCTTAAAAATGCGTATTTGTGTCCAGAAGTGTAGAATGTATTTGTGGTCATTTTCAATCTTTTTAATATATAATTTTAATCTATTCCATTAGTCTCATTTATATTGAGAAATAACATCTATATTTAATAATAAAGGATTAGAATGGTGTTATTTTATTTCTAAATCCTGTATTCAGATAATACTAATAATAATTGTAACTTTTGTTATGGATTTGATTTTTAAATATATATTCCTATAGTGAGTTAAAGAGGCTTGAGGAGTGAACCAATCACCAGTTTGTGTCATGTAGGAAGCTTTGTGTGAGCTCATCTGAAGGCCTGCTGGCATTTCTTGGTTTTGTGAGGCTGCTGTAGTTTCAGCTGCTGTTTGCTGTGTGTTCTGTTTGTTTATATATTTCAGTTGTGTTTTGTTGTCTAATGTCTTCATTGTGCAAATAGCCACGGTGAGATTAACAATTAAATTATATCTATTTTTGAGCACTGAAATTATGGTTGTTTATTATGTTGTCTTTGTAATAACACGTTGTTTGCTAATGAGTTTATTCTCTTAAAGAGTGGGCCTTTTTAAATGCAATTTTGAATAACCTAGAAAAGACAAAGCCATGAGTTGTTGTAGTTTTGCTGTGCTTTTTGTGATTTAAATGTTATTTCACTTACTGTCATTTTATATTTTGATATTTCAAATTTGCTCAAAAGTGTCAACTTTCATATTATTTAGATATAAGTAATTTCAGCAGAAGTAAACTAGATTTTTGATTTTATCTGTAAAAGCTTTTAAAGTTTATTGTCATGGAAAATACAGAATAATTAGATGTACTGTATCTGCCATAAATTCAAATAGAGTTTTAGTAATTATTAAGGTAATTTTTATTAAAATGATAGATTTGATCAGTGTTATAATAATGTAGATTACTTGATATTAATTTATCCTGGATTTCAGTGCTGAGACAACTGTCATTTTAAATTAATTAACTATTTTTCAATTAGTGAGCAACACATTTTTCTGACACATGTTATTTAATTATTAATATCACCTGAGCTTGTTATGTAATTGTAGTTTTAAAATAGAAACTGTTAAATCATTTGATGGTGAAATAATCAATACAAACAAAACTTATGAAAGATCAGAGAAAATAAATAGATTTAGGTAGAATGATTATTAATAATTCTTTAATTTATATCGTCTAAATTTGATTGGAAGAATGGGAATTAGTTTGATAAGAGAATTAAGTTTATTCGCTCAAACCTAAATATCTTTCTTGCAATTTGTTAATGTATTTTCTTAATGGTGTCTTATTTTGATAGCAGAAATCAGAAAACTATTTTTCTCATCCTTGTTAAGTTTCTTTGTTAGATAAAGCATGTGGCTTCACTCTCCGCTCATGCAACACATGAGGAAACAGAGTGTGACTTAGTGATAATTGATATTTGTGCTACATGAATGATATGCAGTGTTGTTTCACTATCAAATAGATGGTGAAGGTGTGGACAGAGCGACTAACATGATCTCTTGCTTGTTGTTGTGAGAGAAACGCATTTAAAGCTGTCTTCCTGAAATAAAGAGGTATAGGGGTTTGTTTACTTGCCTGTATAGTGAGAAACCCTGACTTTCCTCCTGCTAATTATCTCTCTACACCTTTGAATTAACCTTGAGTGAAAATGTGCTCAAATAAACAGGCGATGAATTGGTGATTGAGTGCTAACTCTTGTGTTACACTTCATTAGGCTGTGTCACAATAAACTCCGGTTGAACTGTTTGCGTGCCCCTTTGTATAAATCTAAGTTTGCAGCTTAATGTTGTTTGATAAAAACTACATTGATCACAAGACCTTTTTTCTTTACAAAAAGCATACAAACCAGGACTTGGGTGTAAACATCTGCATTGCACCACAGTGGTGCACATGCAGATGTGTGTGTTGGGTTGTCAGTGCACACTGAGTCACAACAGTGAAATACTATAGCCATCAGTTGATCCACTCTGAATCCATTAATACTCCCCAGTTGATCCTGGGTGCAGGGGAAGCTCTCCAATTCAGTCTCCGGTTTTGTCCGGAGTGATAGCAGGAGGTGATGCACTGCTCCCCTCTAAAGCCACATCCACTGCACCCACCTCCTGACACCTCATGTCTCCCCTCACCTGTCTGTGAGGAGGGATCGCACAGTGTGATCTGTTCTGGGAGTTGATGCGCAGGTTGTCCCTCCACTATGCTCATTTTCTGTCTTAAAGACCATTTCTTTGGTGTCTTTTTAACCTACGGTTGGTCTGTCTCAGGCTTTTTACGTATGAAGGGTGAAGAAGAGATTATTTTTCATGTTGTAGAACAATTTAGCTTTGACTGAGCCCCTGCTTATGATGTGTGAAAAAATAATGCCAAATGAGATAGTTCTTCATTAGCACTTCCAGAAATAATTACTATATACTTGTCATGTATTAGCGAAAGGCTTTTAATTCGAGTGTGTTCAAGCCACTGCATTTATATTTCAGCCCCTCTCCCAACGCTGCTAAATTTGTATAGCAATTATTAACTTTTTTATGAAAGTGGAGTAGGGTATTTTACTCCTGAAGTGATAACAGACTTGCTAGTGCAACAGAGTATATAGCTTAAGGGAGCGTCTAGATAAGATGTGAGAGCATTGTAAATTTATTGTGTGTGTGTGTATCAGAGCTGTGGGATCGCTGTTAAAGCTTCCCGAGAGTTGGAATCTTCTTCTCCTTTTTTTTTCTTTTTAAACACACACTTGCATGTGTATCACAGCAGCAGCAACTGTAGAGATTTACTTCTTGGTAAGCTGTCATTCACATTCCTCTCCAACCTGTTGCATGACTAATATGTTGCTGCAGCATTACGCTCATTACAACCAGGAGTTAAGTAATCAGCCAGACGACTCTCAGGAGCAGCAGTGAGGAGGTGTGGAAGGTGTGGCCGGGATGGGGAGGACTGCATTTTTCTGTAAATACGAAACCACCGAAATATACTGGAGATGAGAAAAGTAAAACAGGAGTGGATGGTTTCACGTGAGGGAAAGTGACTGGAGTAGCGTTGTGTTTAGTCAGTGACACATAGGAGTCTGAGTTGAGAACCACCATTCATCCAGCGGGAGATGAATGGGGCGCCTTCTTCTTCTGCCTGTGTTATTATTTGTGACCTCACCATTACACATTATCTCTCACTAGTTCTTATTATTGAATAATGAGAGTAACGGCGAGACAGGCTGTGGTAGAAGTAAAATAAACCCTCATTGATTAGAGATGAGAGGCATAAAGTCTCCTTGAAC